AGGTAGCCAGCAGCAGAAATGGCTTTGAGACTGGTTAAGAGCTACAATCAAGCATGCTGGGAATTTTGCTCAAGCTACCGAAAACTATGACTTCGGTTTTCCATGTTGACCAAACAAGACAAGTGTCATGATAGTCAGGTAGGCAGATTGGCACCATACTACCTTGCATGGAGCATGGAATGTGGCTGTTTAACATTTGAGAGATTTTTTTTAACCAGTAAAACTCCTTTGGCTGGGATCAAACCATGTGATCTGGGTTTGGTCAATTCGTTGCCTGAGTGCCAGAGGAGTGTCTTTTGGGAGGAGCATACTCTTGAGATAAAAGCTAGCAGAACAAAGGATTTTGCAGGAGGAGTTCTTGAGAACAACATTTGCAATGTGCTGTGAAGTGATTGTCAGAGAAGACAAAGAAGCATGAGGAAAGATTTACACTGAGAGCAAAGTTGGCCACTCGAATTGGGGAGGTATTTGTTTCAAGTCAAACCTATCGAGTCAGAGTTGAACGTGAAATAAGTTGAATGTAGAGGAGGGTAAAGCAAAGTTAAATGAAGTGAGTTAAAGTTGAAGTTAAGTTAGCAGAAGCAAGATGTAAATGTTGCAATGAATCTGTTTTTATTGAGTATTTTTATCTAAAGAGTTATATAAAGAAAGGCTTATTTAATTAAATTCTGAGTTGATTCCCTGTCACACAAGAGAAAAATATCTGAGTAAAAGTTTGAGTACGCCTTTTGGATAATATAAAATAACTTCAGATAGAATCAAGGAAATTCTGAAGGCTTTTTAAAAATAGAGAAGAGGATTATCAGGGGAAGAGTTGGATCTATTAGAGACCAAATGGGTAACCTGTGGAGTTAGCAGACATTGGTCAGGTCTTAAATAAAGAGAGAAGAACAAAAGAGGAGTATGGCTCAGGAACAGGCCCTTCAGCCTTCCAAGCCTGATCATCATGCCCACACGAAACTGAAAAACAAACCTTCTGCCCTTATTCAATCTGTATCCCTCTATTCAGGTAACCATCCAGATGTCTCTTAAATGTTGATTAAAATACTTCTCATTCTTTTTCACAGAGGAGAACGTCTTTATATCTGTGAAGTTCAGTTGGGATGGTGAAGTTCTGGAGCTTGTTAAGATTAAAAAGGAAGTATTAGATGTTGTAGCAGATGTAAAGGTATATAAATCCCCAGAGTCTGATGAGATTGATCCCACGCTGCCATGGGAGGTAAGGGAGGATATTACTGGGGTCCTGATGGAGGTATTTAATACTTAGTTGGCTGCAGGTGAAGCGTCAGATGACTGGGGAATAGGTAATGTGGTTCCTGTGGGCAAGAAGGCCAGAAGGGATAGGTCAGGTATTTATATAGACTAGTTAAACTGATGTCAATCGGAGGGAAGTTATTGGAAAAAATTGAGGAACAGGGTTAATCAACAGTTGGAAAAACAGGGATTGATCAGGCATAATCAGAGATTTGGAGGGAGATCCTGTCTGACTAACTTGAGGTTTTGAAGAAAGTGACTGCATTGATGAGGGTTGCAGTTGATGTGGTTTACATGGACCTCAGTAAGGCCTTTGACAAGATCCCATATGGAAGGCTGGTCCAAAAGGTAAGAGTACATGGCATTCAAAGCAAGTTGGCAAACTGCCTCCAAAACTGGTTTACAAATAGGAGGGAAAGGAACATAGGGGAGTGTTGCTTTTGGTGATTGGAATTCTGTGACCTGTGGTATGCCACAGGAATCAGTACTGATTCCATTGTTGTTTGTTATGGACAATAATTACTTGGATATGAATGTAGAAGGCATACTTAGAAAGCTTACAAATGGCAGGCAAATTGGAGGTGGTGTTGATAGTGAGGAGATTGGACTACAGTCTGATATTGATCAGCTGGTAAATTGGGCAGAGCAAAGCAGATGGAATTTAATCCAGATGAGTGAAGGGTAATGAATTTTGGGAGTTCTAATAAAGGAAGGATGTACACAATGAATGGTAGGTCCCTAGGGAGTACTGAGGAACAAAGGGATCAGGGTGTACAAGTCCATTGATCCCCAAGGTGTCAGCACAAGTAGACAGGATAGTGAAGAGTGCATATATGATGCTAACCTTCACTAGCAGGGGTGTTGAAAATAGGAGCAAGGAAGCCTTGCTACATCTTTACAAAATATTGGTTAGGCTACAGATGGAATAGTGTTCAGTTCTGGTTGCCACAGTATCAGAAGGGTGCGGTGGCACTGGAGAGGGTGCAGGGGAGATTCACCAGATGTAGCCTGGGATGAAAAGTCTCAGTTATGAAGAGAGATTGGATAGGCTAGATTTGTTTTCCTTCAAGCTGAGGGGGAATATGATAGTGTATACCTCAATTATCAGATGTGTAGATCGAGAAAATCTCTTCCCCATGACAGACATGTCCAAGACAAAGGACATAAGTTTAAGGTGAGGAGTAAGTGGTTTAGAGGAGATTCTGGAATTCTTTCCTCACCCAGAGGGTGTAGCAATATGGAATGTGTTGCCTGTCGGGATGGTGGGAGGAGGTACTCCCTCCACATTGAAGAAACATGTGGATGAACATGGAATGTCAGGGCACAGTTGGCTCTGGGCAAAGTGGAGGTAGATAGGAATAGTGTAGTTTGGTGTTTGTTGGTTAGGATAGACATGGTGGGCTGATGGGCTTGTCTCCATGCTGTATGACTCTATGATAGTATGATTCACATATTAATTGTTCCTGTATTGGACAGGAGTCATTTGGGAATGATATTCATCAGACCGTTAGCTGTCAGTTTGCCCAGTGATAAAGGCTGAGAATTGTTGGAATTGGGGGACAGCACATTCCCTCAGAGACCAGGTCTTAACTATCAGACAGATGACTAGAGAGTCAGAAACAGAATAACTGTGAAACTCTGCCCTGAACACTGACTGCTCACCCCTCAGTGAAATTCAGATAATGATTGGATTCACACTTGAATGCTTCAGTCATACCTGCCTCTACCACAGCTCCATGTGTCATCATGGTGCCTTGTTGCATTCAAAGTGAAGGAGGTGGAAACAGAGGGTCAGTTCTGTGTTAGTGTTCCCAGTGAGGCACCAGGGCCAGACTAAAGACAGGGAGAGACGGAAGGCAGATTATTGCCTGAGATGGATAAAATAATCCACATTCAACCCAATTTACAGTGGACATGGGCAAAACTCCCATTCAGGTCTTCAGTCAGCAGTACATGCCCAGATTGACAAAGGGCTGGAAATCCAGGATCGAGGAGTCCGAGAAGGAGGTGCTCTAAGTTCATTAGATATAGGGGCGGAATTAGGTCTTTCAGAGCATTGAAGTCTGCTCTGCCATTCGATCATGGCGGATATTCTCCTCACGCCCATTGTCCTGCCTTCTCCCCATAACCCTTCAACCCAATTAAAAATCTGTCTCACTCTTCCTTAAATTTACTCACTGTCCCAGCATCCACCGCATTTTGGCCTTGTGAATTCCACAGATTTACAACCCTTTGGGTGAAGCAGTTTCTCCTCAACTCTGTTTTAAATTTGCATCCTCTTATCCTGAGATTTTGACCTCACGTCCTAGAATGCCCCACAAGAGGTAGCATCCACTCAACGTCTATTTTATCTGTACCTTTTATCATCTTGAATCCCTGTGAGGAAACTGTGTACATTGAGCTTCACTCTGTACCTGACCCTGTGCTGTCTAGGTCTTGGGAATATTTGATTGGGATCCTGTAGAAGCAGCTTTAGTCTACATCTAAGCCCATGCTGTACCTGTCCTGTGAGTATTTAATGGGAATAGTGTGTGGAGTGGGAGAGCATTAATCTCTATGTAACCATCTGCATTACCTGCAGTGCCATTCTGCCCCACTACCCTAGCTAAACACACCCCTTCAATCAGCCAATCATTCCCTCTTAGCTACCCAATGCTTCTCTCTCACCATCTGCTGCATTGGCCGGACATCAACACATCACCCACTAAACACTGGCCTGGATGGGTGCAGCTCCAACAACACTCAAAAAACTCGACACCATCCAACACAAAGCAGCCCACTTGATTGGCTGCACATCCACAAGCATCCACACTCTCTCCCACTGGCGCTAATTAGCATCAGTTTATACCATCTGTAAAATGCACTGTAGATCCTGAGACAGCGCCTTCCAAACCCACAACCATTTCCACCTAGAAGGACAAGGGCAACAGATAAATGGGAAGACCCCATCCCCTATAAGTTCTCCTCCAAGCCACTCACCATTCGGGCTGCGATGCTGGGTCAAAATCCTGAAATTCCCTCCCGAAAGGCATTATGGGTCTGACACTTGGACTACAGTATTCAAGAAGGCAACTCACCACCATCTTCTCAAGGGGTAACTGGGCTTCCGCAATTAAAGTCTGGGCCAAACAGCAATGTCCACATCCACAGTGAATAAGAATATTTCATGGTCTGGAAACAATAGGATTCATGTGTGGTTTCACTCAGGAGTTTTGTTTATTCACAACACAAGGATTTTGTACAAACAGGTATTTTACTGCATTACTGATCTTCGCTTTAAACCTAGACAATGTTGCTGCATAAATAAATGTGTTTGTGCAACAACTTACATTCTGTCGCATAAACCTAATTCTTTTGAAGTTATATAGAAAAGATGCATAATTGGTAGGCTCCATATCTCAAATAACATAAGAAATTTACAACATAGATTAACCACAGGAGGATAAAGCTCCCAGAGATGGTAAGGAGCAAAATCACAGACTTCCTTCTGCTCTCCATCTCTGGGTCTCTGTGATTCTCTTCTTTGCTCTCACCCTTCAGCCTCTTCCGGACTCGACTGCTCACTAAAATGTGACTGACCGTCAGAGCATTGAGCAATAGAATTAAAGTGAATGGCAGTAAAGGGGTTACAACTGTATCAAGCCAATCTAATGCCACCCACCAAGGCTCACTATAGTAGCTTGACATTGTTATGCAGTAATATGGTACATTGTTGATTATCGTCTCAGGCTCATATTGAAAGCAGAAGGGGATGTTTTTCAAACAGAGCAGGGTGCAGGTTGTTGCTAGAACCACAGTCGCAGTTTTCTCAGTGCAATATTTTGTTTTTAGCTTCTGACAACAAATGGTCACAAATTGGTCAAAGGAGAAAGTGACGGTGAACCAGACAGAGCAGGCCCAGGCTGCATGGTGCATGGCCCCATTAACACTACACACGTAAGTGATGTCCAGGAAAGACTGCGGGTAATAATAAAAGCAAAATCTCCACAGTATAATATCAGTGATAGTGACCATCATATCGGCAGCTGCCATAACCACCAGGTAGCGAGTAGTGCAACGGGAAACACCGTACTTTCCTTGGGAAAGGATTGCAATTGCCAGCAAATTAACTGTGGAAGACAAATGGGAAAAGAGGCATTGAATTATTGATCAGAAAGTCCCCTTGCCTGTTCCTGAGAGCAGTGATTTTTACAATCATAAAAACTGTTGGACTGTGGGAGTGATAGCTGTGGAAGTGGTTAGGGTTAAGTGAGTTTGAATTTTAAGACTATCATACCTGCCCCAAATTTGCCTCCAACCTAATCACACCAGAGACTTTGAGTCAGGTCAGGAACACAGCTCACACTCCCTCCGAGGAGCTTAGTCTGTAAGGGAATTATCTGATAGTTTGTGATTAATTGAATAGTTGAATGGCTTGAATTGAATGGTCTCCTCCTGTTCCTATGTTCCTGTAAGTGTTGGAAAATGAGATTAGAATAGTTAAGTGCTTGTTTTAGATTGGTTTGGACGCAATTGGCTGAAGGGTCTTTTGCTTTGCAATAGATTTGTCTGTCTCTGCCTCTATTACTCAAATTGACAGGATGAACTTGGCACAAGAAAGCAGAGACGATGTGGTGATTGAATCACATACAAAGTGACTGAAGTGAGTTTTAAATTGCAGATAGGGATCAGCTGTGGCAGTTTGTTCATTCCAATCAGTTTCTCAAAAATGTCTCAGAAACAAAGACATTTGAAGGTTTCAGGGAACAGGTTCACTAACAGGAAAAAGCAGCAACACAGGTCAATGAGGCCCCACTCACCTAAACAAAACCTTGAGAATTTTTCCACATTGATGGAGAAATAGTCTTTTTAAAGGTACTTGGATTCATACTTGAAATGTCAAGTAAGAGGGCAGCGGAATGGTGACGCTGATTGGCTACCGTGGGGAAGATTTGTATCAGTGCAGTCACTGCATCCAGAAGGTGGTTTGTGGAGGAGCTGTTGTCAAGTGACAGTTCAAACCCCAAACACTTCCTTAGTGTTTCCCTCCCTACCACCTCATAAAAAAAAAACAAAACACACGCACACGCACACGCACACGCACACGCACACGCACACGCACACGCACACGCACACGCACACTGTGAGGACCAGAGAGCATCCTGGGAAGGTGAGCGAGAGAAGACCTACCTTGGGTATTTGCAGCAATAAGTAAGGGTAAGTGTTTAGTAAATTTTCTTAAACAGCTTAATTGGGTGATGGTGATGTCAGTCAGAGGGGTTAAGTGCTGCAATTGTGAGATGTAGGAGATCCTTTCCAGTGTCTTGGACAATGACATCTGTGGAAAGTGCACCCAAATACAACTCCTCACAGAGCGCATGGATAGGTTGGAGTGGCAATTGGATGCACTTAGGAGCATGAAGGTGGTGGAAAGCGTAATGGACAGGAGTTTTAGAGTTGTGGTGACACCCAAGGTGCAGGCAGATAGATGGGTAACCACTAGAAGGGGTAGGCAGCCAGAGCAGGAATCCCCTGTGGTTGTCCCCCTCTCTAACAAGTATACCGTTTTGGATACTGTGGGGAAGATGACCTATCAGGGGGTAACAGCAGCAGCAGCCAGACTGGTGGCACCACAACTAGCTCTGTTCTTAAGAAGGGAAGGACTAGAGCAGTAGTTATAGGGGACTCTATAGTTAGGGGTCCAGATGGGTGCTTCTGTGGACACAAAACAGACTCCAGGATGGTATGTTGCCTCCCTGGTGCCAGGGTCCAGGATGTCTCTGAATGGGCAGCAGGCGTTCTGAAGGGAAAGGGTGAACAGCCAGAGGTCATGGTGTACTAACGACATAGGTAGGATGATTGACGAGGTCCTGCAGCAGCAGTTCAGGGAGTTGGGTAAAAGGTTGAAAAGCAGGACCTCCAAGGTTGTAATCTCGGGATTACTCCCTGTGCCACGTGCCAGTGAGGCTAGAAATAGGAAGATAGGAAGAAGCTCAATGCGTAGCAAAACAGATGGTGTAAGAGGGAGGGTTTCACATATCTGGACCATTGGGATCTCTTCCGGGGCAGGTGGGACCTGTACAAGAAGGACAGGTTGCAACTAAACTGGAGGGGCACAAATATTCTGGCTGGGAGGTTTGCTGGTGTCATTCAGGAGGATTTAAACAAGATTGGCAGAGGGTGTGGGAACCAAAGCAAAGCTGAATTGATTGAGAGGGAACTAGAGAATAGGGCCAGTAAGATTCAGAGGAAGAGCAGGCAGGGTGTGGTTGCTGATCAAACTGGGTCTGGTGGACTGAAGTGCATCTGTTTCAATACGAGAAGTGTAACAGATAAGGCAGATGAACTTCAAGCTTGGCTTGGTACTTGGAACTATGATGTTGTTTCTATTACAGAGGCTTAGTTAAGGGAGGGACAGGATTGGCAGCTTAACGTTCCAGGATACAGATGTTTCAGGCGAGATAGAGGGGGATATAAAAGGGGTGGGGGAGTTGCACTACTTGTTAAGGAGAATAACACAGCTGTACTGTGGGAGGACACCTCAGATGGCTCATACATCGAGACAATATGGGTAGAGCTCAGGAACAGGAAGGGTGCAATCTCAATGTTTGGGGTTTACTATAGGCCTCCCAACAGCTAGAGGGAGATAGAGGAACATATATGTAGGCAGATTTTGGCAAGATGTAAAAGTAACAGGGCTGTTGTCGTGGGTGATTTTAACTTCCCATATATTGACTGGGATTCACTTAGTGCTTGGGACGTGGATGGGCAGAATTTGTTAGGAGCATCCAGGAGGGCTTCTTGAAACAATATGTAGATGGTCCAACTAGGAAAGGGGCCATACTGGACCTAGTATTGGGGAATGAGCCTGGCGACGTGTTCGATGTCTCAGTAGGGGAGCAGCTTGGGAACAGTGATCACAAATCAGTAAGCTTTAAGGTACTGATGGATAAAGATAAGCGTAGTTGTCAGGTGAAGTTGCTAAATTGGGAGAAGGCTAATTACAACAATATTAGGCAGGAACTGAAGAATGTAGATTGGAGGCAGATGTTTGAGGGCAAATTAACATCTGGTATGTGGGAGGCTTTGAAGTGTAAGTTGATAGGAACTCGACAACACATTCCTGTAAGGATGATGGATAAGTATGGTAAGTCTAGGGAAACGTGGATAACAAGAGATATTGTGAGCAGAGTCAAAAAGAAAAAGGAAGCATTTGTCAAGGCTAGGAGGCTGGGAACACATGAAGCAAGGGTGGAATACAAGCAAAGTCAAAAGAAATTTAAGTGTGTAGATAGTTTGGGTCATGTTGAGATCAAAAGGGAGGAGGCAATGGGGGGGACTTTAAAAACATTTAGGTAGACAAGTTCCCAGGACCTGATGGGAAACACCCCAGAGAGACAAGGGAGTAAATTGCTGGGGCCTTGAGGGAAATCGTATCCTCGCTGGCTACAGGGGAGGTCCCAGAGAATGGGAGAACAGCTCATGTTGTTCCTATGTTTAAGAAGAGTGGCAGGGATAATCCAGCTAATTATAGGCCAGTGAGTCTTACGTCAGTGGGAGGGAAATTATTGGAGAAAATTCTTCAAGACAGGATTTGCTTTCACTTGGAAATAAGTGGGCATATTTGCGAAAGGCAACATGGTTTTGTGAAGGGGAGGTCATGTCTCATGAACTTGACTGAGTTTTTTGAGAAAGTGACGAAGATGATCAGTGAGGGTAGGCAGTGGATGTTGTCTACATGGACTTCAGTAAGGCCTTTGACAAGGTCCCTTACAGCAGACTGGTACAGAAGGTAAAGTTGCATGGGGTCAGAGGTGAGCTTACGAGATGGATAAAAAAAACTGTCTCGGTGATAGAAGACAGAGAGTAGCAGTGGAAGGGTGCGTTTCTGAATGGAAGGCTGTGACTAGTGGCATTCCTCAGAGATCAGTGTTGGGACCTTTGCTGTTTGTAATATATATAAATGATTTGGAGGAAAATGTAACTGGTCTGCTTAATAAGTTTGCGGATGACACAAAGGTTGGTGGAATTGCAGATAGTGATGAGGACCGTCAGAGGATATAGCAGGATATAGATCGGTTGGTGGCTTGGGCAGAGAGATGGCAGATGGAGTTTAATCCGGAAAAATGTGAGGTAATGCATTTTGGCAGGTCTAATCCAGATGGAAAATATACAGGAAATGTCAGAACCCTTAAAAGTACTGAGAGGCAGAGGGATCGAGATATACAAGTAAACAGGTTACTGAAACAGGCCGGGGCATTGAGTTTAAAAATTGGCAGGTAATGTTGCAGCTTTATAGAACCTTACTTAGGCTGCACTTGGAATATTGTGTTCAATTCTGGTTGCCACACTACCTGAAGGCTGTGGTGGCTTTGGAGAGGGTACAGAAAAGATTTACCAGGATGTTGCCTGGTATGGAGGGCATTAGCTATGAGGAGAGGTTGGAGAAACATGGGTTGTTCTCACGGGAACGACGAAGGTTGAGGGGGCAACCTGATAGAGGTCTACAAGATTATGAAGGGCATGGACAGAGTGGACAGTCAGAAGCTTTTTCCCAGGGTGGAAGAGTCAGTTACTAGGGGGCATAGGTTTAAGGTGCAAGGGGCAGGGTTTAAAGGTGATGTACGAGGCAATTTTTTTACAGAGAGGGTGATGGGTGCCTAGAACTCGCTGCCAGGAGAGGTAGTGGAAGTAGATACAATAGTGACTTTTAAAGAGTGTCTTGACAAATAGGATGGGAATAGAGGGATATGGTTCCCGGAAAGGTAGGGGGTTTTAGTTGTGACAGGCAGCATGTCAGTGCAGGCTTGGAGGGCTGAAGGGCCTGTTCCTGTGCTGTAATTTTCTTTGTTCTTTGTTCTATTGAAGTCTGCAGGCCTGGCAATGTAAGGATGGCCTGGGAGAGATTTACAGAACCCAGAAGGGCCTCTTCTGTTCCAAATGGTTATAGGATTCAAACTGAGGATTAGATAGGGTGGACAGTGGGAGCCTTTTTCCCCGGATGGTGGTGGCTAGCACGAGGGGACATAGCTTTAAATTGAGGGGTGATAGATATAGGACAGATGTCAGAGGTAGGTTCTTTACTCAGAGAGTAGTAAGGGCGTGGAATGCCCTGCCTGCAAAAGTAGTA